AGGTTCAGGTTTTTTTTAATGCTATAGATTCAACAAATGTACGCGAAAAATGCATGAATGAATATTATGCCACATGTCCTCCTTTTTTTTCATTGTTTTTTTTTTTTTTGCGTTTTGCAAGTTTTATTATTTCCACTTCCTTTTTTTAGCTATAGAGTTCCATACAATACTTTGACTTCTCCATTGGTAAAATGCAGCAACATAAGTAAGTACAATAAAGAAGAAAAAATTGTGAAAAAAAAACCCAAGGAAGGATGTGTTTCACAGAAGACTAAAGACTTTATATTGAATTTGTTTTATACATAAATACTATAATATGGCAAAAGAAATTATCCACAGACATCATGGCATCGTTAACTTTTGTTTCTTGTTTGTAATTGCTTCGGTTGGATTCTATCTTATCTTTTGTTTTTAACATAAAACAAAAATGTTTTATATTTGTTTCTTTTTTCTTTGTATTTTAAATTAAGATATATTTTTTTAGGTACAAAATTAGTGTTTAAGTTTAAGGCAAGACAAATAAAGTTTTAATCAAATTAGTCAGTTTTCGATAATAATAAGATGGATCTGTACAAGGTGTAGTTTTTTTTAACAGCTGATTGTGTTTTTGTTTATGAAAACGTATATCGCGGTTGTCAAATACTAAATAAAACAGAATTCTTCAAGGTGAATCACTTCAAGAGCTGTTTTTTTGTTTCCTTAACAACGTTTACATTCACCTTGGACTTCACCTTATAGATTCTCCAGGCGAATCGTTTATAAGTTGAAATTAAAAACGAATTCGCAAAAAACGGAAAACTAAAGCCTTTGAGGAAATGGTTATAAAGTGAAGTCGTTTCAATAGCAGATGTTTTTTTATTCATGAAGATTTACCCGAAGTTGTCAAACTCCAAAAAATATAACAAATTAGCCTTTGAATTGATAACTTCAGTTGATTTAGGTATTTGTTTAGAAGATTTCAGAATATTTTAAAATACTTTAAAGTCAAAGAATTAGGACATACTTGTGGTGCCCTACATTGGTTACCTCTACAATCGCCTTCGATAAGGTGAGGAGTACCATATTCAACACTTTTTCTCTAAACATGTAAAATTTCATTAAAATCGAATCAATCGTTTAGAAATTATAGATATGTTTACTTTTTTCGAGATTTCCCTACTCTTATTTAACATTTTACAAAGTCCGGCAACTTCAAAAATCAATTGTCAAAGCACAAACTTATTTTACATTTATTTAGTTATTTTTAACACATTACTTCTATTTTCTAAAACGGAAATACAGACATAAACTAGAAAAGAATTCGGACTATTTTCAACTATTGACAAACTTTAGGTACCCTACTTTGGCTACCTCTTTAAAGTTTGTGAGTTCCAAATTCTAAACATAAACTTGCTAATACTTCCTCTCTACACTTATGGAATATTATTGAAATCGTACCAGCCGTTTAGAAATGGTCACTTTTTCGAGGTTTTCCTACACAGTCCGGCAACACTAAGAATCACTTGTAATAGTTGTCAAAGCACTAACAAGTGTTGTCAACTTCTCTACAAACTTATATCACGCTCATTTAAAGCATTTTGTACAGATCATTTCAATTTTATAAAAAGAAATGGATAATTTCAAAAACAGGATGTTTAAAAAAAAGAAAAAAGTATCTGTTGAAAATAAATTTTAGAAAAATAAATCAATGATATTTATGGAACATAAATAAACCAACGAAAAGTAAAAATTTCCAACTTTAACAAAATTTTCCTACAAATACTAAAAAAACAACCACAAAACAGATTACGGCTGAAAATGTAAATTTTAAAGAATGGCAAAAGAAAAATTTATTATTTGCGCGCCAAAAAAAAAAAGAAATGAAATCTTCACATAAAGCATGTTTAAGCCTAAAAAACTTATATACGCTCTAACTACTACTTCAATATGATGGCGCTTTTGCCTTACAAGTAATCTTTAGCAAAAAAGGAAACGATTTTGTTTAAGATAAACTAACATACATTCAAGAGAAAAAGAAAGAACCAAAAAAAAACTGATTAGGTAATACCTACCAAACTGAAGTGCCTAAACATAACTTAGACTAAACGGTCGATGTTCTTTGGTTTGCCAAAGGAAAATTGACTAATGGTACTTTTCTATTTGTATAACTGGGTTCAGCCGCCGTACTCCTGCTGCTTGCTCACTTCTTCCTTCTAATAACAGATATTTCCTTTTCTAACTGCAGATACTTGAACAAATTTTCTCTTAAAAACATTAGAAAAAAGGCAACCCAGAACATTTAGTAAAACCATAAAGAAAAAAAAAACATTCTTATGAATTTGAAAAAAACATTGAAAACCTAGAACGAAGTTTAAATGGCACCAGGGAATGCCAAAAGCTCAGAAATACCAACAACAGCCAGCAAAAGAAAAAATTATTGTATATTTTAGCAAACAGCAACAAAAAAAAGCACTAATAATAAAACAAAAAACGTAAAAAACTTAAATACACAAGAGCTACATGAACATGAAATGAAAAACAACATCAGCAGCAGCTCAAGCAGTAACCAAACGAACGATTTGCAGCAACAACACAGAGCCAAAGCCTGACTCGTTTCATTTCATCATTAAGGCGCAAAATGGTTGAGGCAAAAACTTATTATTGTTGCTGCTATCGTTGTCGTTGTTGTATTTTACGTTTATTGTACAGAAAAACGTCTACTCTAGATGTAGAAGTGAAAACACAAACAACAACAACAAACAATCATACTATACATAAAAATATATAGAAAAAATATTGTACAAAACTGATGGTGTTTGGCTAAACAGAACTATTAATGTATGTTATCGATTACTTTTGTTTTGACTTTAGTACCTGCACTAAGAGTAGCCAGATCAAGTGAGACTGGAAAAGTAAACAGTGAACTTATGGTAACCTTGTTCAGAAAATGTTTTAAAGTGAAAACAACTCTGTCAAAATAAAGTAGATTCGAAGGCGACTTTTAAGTTGAAGACCAAAGTGAAGATTAAAAGCGACCCAAAATTCGTTGATTGGCGTAAGAGCTAGCTATATAGCTGCGATATATCGTTATTAAAGCCTATATCTCTCCAGAATAATGTAAATGGACTTTTATAACCACTCTTTCCAGCACATTCTAGGATCACGTGGTAGCTGGGCTAGAAATCTCAATCATGGGATGTGAATGTTGCATGTTCTCTCATCCGTCTTGTTAAACGGTTTTGTCGATCGAAAATTGACATAAGAGTGCGAAAAGTAATCGTGCTTGAACATGAACTTTGCTAAAATATTGAATAATTGGCTAACATTACCGAAGAGTGTATCTCTCCATAATGAAATGGCATAGAATGACGTGTCATACTCCCACCGAGCACGTGGTGACAGGAATCCTAGGAATATAATGGAGGTTACGGTGTTGCTACACTATAAACAGGTGCCACCTCAAGGGTGAGGCTGCTCGACTTCAGTAGAGAAATGTATTGGAGTTGGCAGAGCTAGGGCAATGTTTAAGTTATAATTATTTGGCGAACTGATTCTGAAGGCAAATGGGCATTGTGGACCAGTAGCAAATAGCAAAGATCGGATACTCTCTATTTGATTTCAATGGCTGCCTCTTCTTTGGTCGAGGAATTCATTGGAATTGGCTTTCAAGATTATCAGTCTATCTGCACTGAAGTTGACAATGTTTAAGTCATGATTGATCTGTGGCCGCATAATTGTACGAGGTCCGTTAGAGCAATGTTCAAAATTGCTCTCTATGAGTTCTTTGCAAATCAACCAGTCCACTCAATGGTTGAAAAAGATCACCATCAAGGCTGCTGATCTCCTCAGATGACGTTTCATACTGCGAAGTTAAAGCTTCTCTATTTGGGCCAATTGGACATCGAAAAGATCTGCTTTGACAAGAAGTATTTTCATTTCGGCGGCTTCGTCAATAAACAAAATTGCCGCATCTAGGGTTCAGAAAGCATATACCTCTCATTGTCGGAAAGCCAATGCATCGACAAAGAGTGATAGATCAGTTTATGGAGGGGTAATATGAAACGTGAAATAGTTCTGGAAAATTAAATAAAAATCGAGATCCATGAAGGGAGACAACTGTGATAGCGATATTAAAAGGACCCTTGCAACCCAATAAAACTATTTCCTCGGCTAGCATTAAAAATTGATGTTTTGCTAATAATCTACAAGCAATTCACACAAAAGTCTTGTAAATTAGGAATCCCTAAAATTTTCCAAGTTTAATTGGTTCCAAGTTTTACTTTCTCCGGGAATGTTTAATTCCAAAGATGAGTTTCCGTAACCTAGCAAGTAGTGCTTCCTTCAACAAACTCTTCTTTTAAGAGACAATTTAAAATTTCTGCAAACAATACATTCTTTATAAAACTGAAATTATGGCTTTAGCTTTGACTCTGGGTCTCTGCCTGATGATGATGATGACTACAACTGCTGACTGTGTTTTGTACTTATTTTACTTGTTTGTTAAGTTGACTGGCTGGCTGTTTTGGTTGGTTCGTAAGTTCGTTCATATCGTTCGTTGTGTTCAAACGTTCTTTGGCTCAATAACTGACTGCCTGCCTGCCTTGCTAGCCCGCCAGTTAGTCAGTCAGGCTGTTGTGTTTAATGGTTTGGTTGTTTGCTTGCTTTGCTTACTTGCCAGCCAAACTGAATGACTGACTGATTCGTCTCAATGGTGTACGGGAGGCAAGTGAATTTAGCGACCGAACTAAAAATGCTTGTAGAAAAAACAACTTACGAGCTCACAAAAATAACAGAGAACAAACAGAAACAACTATGGCAGCCAGGCAGGCCAGTCACAAGTACACTGTGAGCAGTGGAAAAAATACTAAAATGTTACGACAACACAACGTTGTATTGGGGATTTTTTGTATGAGCTGGTTGGTCCGCTTGTTTTCAGAAAACAACATATGAACGTAGAAATAGTTGCTGTAGTCGTTCGTCGTAGCAGTTAAATTTTAATACAAGTTTATATGTTTGTTAAATCCCTGTGTTTGTCAGTCCGTCCGTCTGTCTATCTATCTGTTTCTGTACGTTTTAAATTGTTCATTCCATGAACATTTTTTCTTTTCATAACTTGGTTGTGTGCTTTGGCTTTGGCTTCTCTATAACAAACGTACGTTTCTTTTAACTTGTGCATTTTTTTCTTGCTGGATTTTATATTACAATTTTTTTGCCGCCAAATCCAAATGAATGAGTTTTATACAGGGAACCGAACCAGCAACTAACAGTAATAGAGCACCTAGCTCTAGCCAGGCAGGCAGTCACAGCAACTGAAATTATGTTTGGTACTCTACTACCTATATAAGAGTATGAAAAAGAAGAAAATCTCATAAAAAATGTCTATTACCCCCAAACCAACCAACCAACCTCCAACCTTAAGCAAACTTTTGCCATCATAGTCATAGTCTTCGTCGTCGTCATTATCATCATCATCAAACTTACTTACAAACTGATTAACTAACGCACATATTTCTGGTAATCGAAGGAAGTTAAGTTTCTCAACAGCAGCAGCAGTAATATTAACTACCAGATATCTGTGTCTGTGTCATATGTAGAGAAGAAAAGCTGTAAAAGTATGTAGTTAAACAATAATAAGAGGAAAAATTGTAATTATAAGACCCAAATAAACGTTAGCAAACTATAAATATTATTAAATTAAAATTTGGATTTAAGTGGTTACTACATTAACTACTTGTAGGGAGTTTAGTTATTAATGAGAGTTTTTTTGTTCAAATGAAGTTTAAATTTGGTTTATGAAAACTAGAAAGAGTTGGGTGATGTCAATATCCATATATGTAAAATAAAATACTTTCATCGACACTGTTAAAAGTTTCTCAATTCGCCAGGTGATATTCATGCAGTCATCGCGGAAGATGAGAAAAACATTGATGGAACTAGTACGAGGTTACTAGAAGCGCACAACAGGATCGATAGGTCACTATCAACCAATTATTTTCGAAACTATTAATGAAAGTTATCGATTACTTCTGGTTTTGACTTTAGTACCTGAATTAGGAGTTGCCAGATTAAGTGAGATTGGATAGACAAACATTGAATATATGGTAACCTTGTGAGACCAAGGTGAAGAAACAGGCGCAAACTTAGAAAGGTGAGGATTAAGTTATCGTTTGTGAGAGTTTGTTCATATAGAAAAACACTTCGAATCGAAGTCTACTTCATATAGAATAACACTTCGAATCGAAGTCTATTTTCATATAGAAAAAGACTTCGAATCGAAGTGTATTTTCATATAGAAAACGACTTCGAATCGAAGTCTATTTTCATATAGAGTAACACTTCGAATCGAAGTCCATATTCATATAGAAAAAGACTTCGAATCGAAGTCTATTCTCATATAGAAAAAGACTTCATATCTATTACAATCATCAACCATAGCGGCAAATAGTCAACAGCAAAGTCCAAGTCTATTAGAATAACTAAGTCTAACAAAAATATTAGTAACAACGACAAAAAAAAACATGGCAAACAAGAAAAATCAAAACAGAACCAAAAACAATAACTTTAAATAAAAAAAAAAAAAAAACAATTTAACTCTAAACTAAACCCAACTAAACTGAAATTGAGTTGAAATATCAACATGATTCTTTTGCAAATGACCAGTAAACAACATGATTATTATGTAGCATATAATAATGATGATGTTGCTTGCTTTAGTGTTTGTTGATTACTAGCAATTTTTTTCTAATACTCATCGCCTACAATCATCATTAACAACAAAAATACACTCTACTGGTGCGCCGTTTTTAACTGTGTGGCACCAGAGGTATTGTCGACACACATAATAAAATACGATTTTATAGGTTTATGCTGTCGTCTATATCATGCAACATCCCATTGTCAGCAGCAACAGCAATCAGCTAATATTTTGCCGGGGTTTTTTGTATGTTGCCTACAAACATACAACAAACTTTTTCTAGGCTGGGAAGAATGAGGCAATCATTTTAAAAGGCCCATATATAACAACAGCAACAATAACTACAAACAGCAATAAATGTTGTCACATCTAAGGCAGAAAATAATAATAATAATAAAACAAAGTTTAACTTTACAATGGAAAAATATTTTGTTATTTTTTCAAATGCTTTTGATTTGGAAGGAAATTATAAAAAATTTTGTTTTTATAAAGAAAATATTAAAATTATTTAATAGTTTCCCCTATTTTTTACTTTATATTACATATAGTCTTGCAAAAATATCAGAATGCCAAGAGCAGGAATCCCTCACCAACAACATTAATCTTAACATAATGTAGTATCATCAATTTTAGTACCTTTCTTTCACTACAAGACATGATACAAATTGTATATTTTTTCCTTTTCACTTAAAATTAATTGATAATAATTTATCAATCAACAATACCCAATATTTTCACACTAATTTTAACTCATTATTTGTTTTGAAAGGGGAGAAAGAAAACAACACAGAGAGAGAGAAAGAGTAGCAAATAAAACCGTAAATGAAGCCTATAGGATTGTCAACACATTAAAATTAATATGTATATACTCACAAATACAACATTAATAAATATTTATAAAAAAAAACATAATACATATTTTCCAATTTAATTTCCAATTCATTTCAGTTGAGTAGCGTTTATGATTGCAATCATTATTTCTGGCAACTACAAGCAGAAACAAAAACAATAACAAAGACAACAATGTCATACTTTGCTAGACGTCAACATCATTATAAACACATGTATAAAATTGTCAATAATAAAAATCAACAACAGCAGCAACAACATACATTATATTAATAAAGAGAGAATACACCACGAAAAAAAAAACACAAATTGAACTTTTCAACCTTTTGTTTATGTTTAGCCGAGTGTTTGTTAAAATAACAACAACAACAATAGAACTCAGAAAAGTTGCTAAAAATAAAATAAAGTTGTAATAAGTTTAGTAAAACAAAAACTTGGTAGATTCTATTAATATAAACAATGTTTATGTTTTGTATGGGCAAATGTCATAATAAATATGTTACAGCACTGAACATACTTCATTTACTTAAGTACTATTTTAGCACTTGCACTGAACATACTGCTTGTTTAGAAATTGTAGTTATTAAATACTGGTAGCTATAATTTAATAAAATTGATATAAATGTAGAACAAGAACAGACATTTAAGAGCTATTGCAGCACAGTGGGTTAGAGGAATACAAAAATTGTAATATTAAAACTAATAATTCAAATTATAAACATTCCAAAATAAAAATTCTCCTAAAAAGAAAAAAATGAAGTTTTTGAAAGAAATTAGGTATAAACAATTTTGTTTAAAAAAAGAAAGTCACATCCCACTGTGCATTTATTTTATAGTAGATAACAACTTAAAACAAAAATCCACATTTAAATTTGCAAATATTTTATGACCGTAAAATTTTTGTTTTGCTGTTTAAACCAAACAACAACAACGACAATAACAAGAAAAAATACCCAAACAGCATGTTTTTTAAGCTGGTTGTTTAGTAAAGATACTTTTTTTTGAGAATTATCACAATTTACACGTTCTTTTTGTAGATTTCTGTAGTAAGACTTTAGTTGAGATAAAGTCTTCCTTGTTGTTGTTGTTGTTGTGCTGCTGTTCAAAATCTAAAAGCTTCTGGTTATGAATGTTTTTACATTCTCATATTTAAAGTTCTTATTGTTGTTGTTGTTGTTGCTGCTGTGTAAAACAACTTTATGTTATTGTCATTATTAAGAGTTTTTATATTTTCATTTTTGTATGAAACAACACCATTTCTGTTTGACGTTTTGTTAAACTCACCAACAGCCATCGTTTAGTAGAATTAAACGTCAAACGACTTTTAGCGAGTTAAACTGTCACATGAATATTTGTTTTTGTTAAAAAAAACTTAGTGCAAAATTTTGCAAAAAAAAAAAAATAAATAAAATCCAAACCAGTCATCGTTTTTACTAAGTAACGTCTCTGTTTGCATATACAACTCAGAACTCGAGAACAATTGTATTTTTTATAAAATTTTCGTTCGTTTTTACTTTATTGTATATTTTTTTTTTATTTATTTGTTTTTTACAGTCATCGTCGTTGTCGTCCTACGTTTCGTTAGTCTCACACGATTCGTAGTGGTTTTTTCATTACTCTTTTTTTGTTGTTGTTGTTATTTTTGCTGTGAGTTTCTCAGAATAAAAATTGCTTGCTTTCATTGCTGTAGATTGCAAAAAAAAATAAAATGAAAAAACAAAAAACACAAATACCGACTCATTCGCTATACAAGCGAAAAACACACAGAAATAAAAAAGAATATTAAAATGTTAAATTTGCTAGAGTGTGTTTTTTTCTGTTCGGTTCGAGCTGTTCAGTCATTATTATTATTTTTTTTCATTCTTATACGTATTCCCAACAGAGAATCATATAAAATGAAAAAATTAAAAAAAAAAAAGAACCGAACGACGAACTAACTAACGTTCTGTGCTGTAAAGTAAAATACACTTAAAAAAATGATACAAGTAGAAAGAGTGGCATCACTTTAATTTTAAGACAGTAGAGACGTGTGCTGCCAGATGTGCAATTTTATTTGAATTTTGCGAGTTTTATTGGAAATTTAATGTGTTTCCGATAAAAAGCAGTTATTTTCGAGAAATACTCAAGATATTAACAGATCTTGATCATGATTTATAGATAAATTCTGTAGAATTTTTTTATTTTTAACTCCAATTATTAAGAGTTGCCAGATCGAATGTAAAGTAATCGTTATTACGAGATCTGAAAAAAGTTTGACAATTTAAGAAATGTTATTGAAAATTCATATCTGAGAATTATTTTACCCTCATATTGATAACAGTTCAATACAAAAGTTTCGTTCCAATACGCATGAATTTAATGGGAACGCCGTTTTGATGTTAAATTTGAAAATATTATTCTTTCAAAAATATATATTTTAAAAGACTCCCGAGATTTCAAAAAAAAATCGTCGTATTTATAAAATTAAATAAAGTTTTACATACCAAATTGTTGAAAAGCATTTTGAAATTCGGTTTTGTTATAATCAACATTAAAAGAACAAATTTTTACCTGGAATAGAAGAAAAAAATTTATAAAATTAGTTTTCAATTACAAAGAGAAGATAAATTTATATTAAATAGAGTTAAATTTAAATAATATTCGGCACATAGTTCAGTTAAATAAATGGATAATTTCGTGTCAAGTGGCCCAACTTTAAAAGTCGATGCCGATTTTGATGAAAATTGCACCAAGGAGTACTATTGGATAGTAGGCAAGACAAATTAAGATCTATTGGTCCAGAACGGCCGCACGAGGGGGGAAAAGGGGACAGTTTGAGCAGACAGGGGGATTCAAAGGAGGGGACTGCACCGAGGGGAGGAGCAAAAAGGGCCAAAGGAGGGCAGAGAGCGAGGGCGACAGGGGGGCCGAGCGGGCGAGCGAGCGAGCGAGCGAGCGAGCGAGCGAGCGAGCGAGCGAGCGAGCGAGCGAGCCGAGCGAGCGAGCGAGCGAGCGAGCGAGCGAGCGAGCGAGCGAGCGAGCGAGCGAGCGAGCGAGCGAGCGAGCGAAGCGAAGAGCGAGCGAGCGAGCGAGCGAGAGCGAGCGAGCGAGCGAGCGAGCGAGCGAGCGAGCGAGGAGCGAGCGAGCGAGCGAGCGAGCGAGCGAGCGAGCGAGAGAGCGAGCGAGCGAGCGAGCGACGAGCGAGCGAGCGAGCGAGAGCGAGCGAGCGAGAGAGCGAGCGAGCGAGCGAGCGAGCGAGAGCGAGGCGGGCGAGCGAGCGAGCGAGCGAGCGAGCGAGCGAGCGAGCGAGCGAGGAGCGAGCGAGAGAGCGAGCGAGCGAGCGAGCGAGCGAGCGAGAGAGCGAGCGAGCGAGCGAGCGAGGGAGCGAGAGAGCGAGCGAGCGAGCGAGCGGCAGCGAGCGAGCGACCAGGCACAAAGCGAGCGAGCGAGCGAGCGAGCGAGCGAGCGAGCGAGCGAGCAGCGAGCGAGCGAGCGAGCGAGCGAGCGAGCGAGCGAGCGAGCGAGCGAGCGAGCGAGCGAGCGAGCGAGCGAGCGAGCGAGCGAGCAAGCGAGCAAGCGAGAGAGAGCGAGCGAGAGAGCCAGAGGAGAGCGAGCAGCGAGCGAGCGAGCGAGCGAGCGAGCGAGCGAGCGAGCGAGGAGCGAGCGAGCGAGCGAGCGAGCGAGCGAGCAGCGAGAGAGCGAGCGAGCGAGCGAGCGAGCGAGCGAGCGAGGAGAGCGAGCGAGCGAGCGAGCGAGCGAGCGACGAGCGAGCGAGCGAGCGAGCGAGCGAGGAGCGAGCGAGCGAGCGAGCGAGCTAGCGAGCGAGCGAGCGAGCGAGCGAGCGAAGGCGAGCGACGAGCGAGGAGCGAGCGCGAGCGAGCGAGCGAGACGAGCGAGACGAGCGAGCGAGCGAGCGAGCGAGCAGGAGCGAGCGAGCGATCGAGAGAGCGAGCGAGCGAGCGAGCGAGCGAGAGAGCGAGCGAGCGAGCGAGCGAGCGAGCGAGCGAGCGAGCGAGCGAGCGAGCGAGCGAGCGAGCGAGCGAGCGCGCGAGCGAGCGCGACGAGCGAGAGAGCGAGCGAGGCGAGAGCGAGCGAGCGAGCGAGCGAGCGAGCGAGCGAGCGAGCGAGCGAGCGAGCGAGCGAGCGAGCGAGCGAGGCGAGCGAGCGAGGAGAGCGAGCGAGCGAGCGAGCGAGCGAGAGAGACAGCGAGAGCGAGCGAGCGAGCGCGCGAGCGAGCGAGCGAGCGAGCGAGCGAGCGAGAGAGCAGCGAGCGAGCGAGCGCGCGAGCGAGCGAGCGAGCGAGCGAGCGAGCGAGCGAGCGAGCGAGCGAGCGAGCGAGAGCAGCGAGCGAGCGAGCGAGCAGCGAGGAGCGAGAGCGAGCGAGCTAGGAGCGAGCGAGAGCGAGCGAGCGAGCGAGCGTAGCGAGCGAGCGAGCGAGCAGCGAGCGAGCGAGCGAGCGAGCGAGCGAGCGAGGGAGCGAGCGAGCAGCGAGCGAGCGAGAGCGCAAGAGAAGCGAGCGAGCGAGATATATCCAGCGAGAATAGCGAGAGATCTCGATCTATCTAGCGTCTATCTATCTATCTATTATATCTATCTATCTATCTATCTATATCTATATCTATCTATCTATCTATCTATCTATCTATCTATCTATCTATCGATGTAGCGAAACAGACTAAAGCCTCTGGTGGGTATCCGGATTTTATTACAGAACATCTGGTAACAGCTAACCAAGCTGAATTCTTATAAGATCAAATACAATTGATTATAAAGATTTAACAGGCAAGTTTGACAGCCACTGTCAGAGAAATTTGTAAAAAATGGACGTTGTTTTTGTCGGTGCACTAGAATGGGCTTCAACAAGGCAAATTAAAAGGTGAAGACATTCCAAAAGCCCCAATTTCTGAATTCATCAGTGACGTCATTTTATATCTAGTAGGTTTCAACGGATTACATGAAAACTTTAAACAACATTAATAACAATACCCTAGTTATTCTCTACTAATTTCTCAAAGTGTAAAATGTATACGGCAACTTATTGTAAAATGTGTGTATTTTGTTGCTTTGGCACAAATGAATGTTATATGAATACCCAACTGAAATTCTGAACATAGAGCTCTGAACACTGCGAAACAGCAACAACAACAGCAACTACATTTGCAAACAACAAGCAAGTAAAATGTACTCACAGTCGTCGTCGTCATCATCATCAACAACAACGACGTATATAAAATACATTAAAAACTAAATCGAGCACAACACAATATTGTTTTTTTTTTAAGTACACAGAACAAGAACAACAAGAAAGAATGAAAAATTTTTTGAAGCAACGAACATGAAAATTCAAACAAAACATAAACATTCATTCGCACACATGCGAATAAATGAATGGAAAACATACCCACACCCACTCGGTAATTTTTATAAAATTTTTCAACATAACAAAGGTTGGCCGGGGTCTAACTCACTGACTGACTGACAGACTGTTAGTCAGATGACTGTGAGTCAAACTGACATGGATTTGTTTGCCTCATTTTTTTTTGTTGTTGTTTGAGTTTTATTTGCACATAAAAATAATAAAATATAATTTCTGTCAGAATGTTTAGTGTTCAGTGTTCTCATTCTTGCCATCATGTCGTTGTAATATTTGTATTACAACACTGAGTGTTGGCCTGAGTATATTTATTTATTTGTTTTTTTTTGTTTTTGTCTACTGGTATGTTGGGTAATACTGTCTTCAATTCTCTATAACCCAAGTAGATTTGCTGATTTAACAGTATTTTGTTAAAAGTGGTTTTCGTGTTACTAAGTAATGTTGAGAAGAAGTAAATTGTCACTTTAGTGTCCCTAGGAGAGGAGATATTTTAAACTTTGTCCACTATAATGTATCTTAAGAAGTAGTTATTTAACTATATAAAAGTAATCTATTGAAGAGTTAGTTATCCGTTTGGGATTAAAAAGAAGTATCTTTGTAGTTTGTGAAGGATCAATTGATTTGACCGCTAAAAATATAATTTTATATAATTAGGGTTGATCCACCAACGAACTGCAGGGTATTGTTTAACTTAATATTTAAGCGATTTTTATGCGTCTTAACGTAAGTATTACTACAAATATTAAAAGTATGACTCTAATGCAGGAAGAATTAAAGTTTTTATTAAATCAGCAAAAAAAAAATGAAGTATATTTTGTCATAATAAAGTAGAATTGAAAAGAAAATGAAGGAAAGGAAGGTGTATTTATTATCACGAATAATTTTGAAATAAATGAAAGTGACTACATATTAATGTCGGATAATAAATATTTGTTCTTTCCAGGTATTGAGTTAATGATTTATAAGGTCTAGATAGTTGCATTATAAAGTCAAGCAGAAAGCACAGAAGAGCAATTGCATCCTTCTGATTATGCCATGTTTTCTACCTTAACTTGATAAGGTGGACTAAAAGGTTCTAAACTAAATTAACAATCTTAACGGGACCTATACTAGAACCTAAAATCATTAATTGAACTTAAAACAAGTTATTCTCTAACGCCTTAAACAATCACTAAGCTCTCTCAAACTCTTCTGAGTTGAAATGAAGACACAAGAGCAAAAGAGTGTATGTTCGAGAAACAGTTTAACATAAATCAACAAAAGAATTGAACATACATATAGAGTAAAAGAACCCTATGGGGTTTACCTCCTTTAACAACAACTATAACCATAACCACAACAACAACAACTTAAAGAATGTTATTAAACAAAACAGTTTTCTAACTGTTTTTACTCAAGTTATGGCAACAATGTATGTATTAGAAAAAAGTTTTCTTTAAATATTTTTTTCATATTTTAGCAAAAGCTACTTGTGGTTTTTGTTTTTATAAAAAAGTTATTGTATGTCCTTGTTGTTATTGTTTTTGTCTGCTAGAGTTGTAGTAGTTTTTGTGACAAAACTTCCGGTTTCAAGGGTAAAGTTTACAACATACACACGTTTTTACTGATGATAGTAAATAAATCTTCTTAACATTTGCAACGCTGGCAAAAAAAAACAGTAGAACAGGGAAGAAAATGTATAAATAAAGTAGAAGGAAACCTAGAGAGAAAAAAACAACTAAATGACGAACTCAACTAATGGACCATTATTTCAAGTTATTTGCTACTGCTGCTGTTTTTCTTTTTCGCTGCAGTTGTAAATAGAACAAAGAAAATGAATGAAGGAAAAAAACGTGTTGTAAAGTTTTTACCTACAGGGAATAATGAGAGTTGTTAGTACAATTGAACGGCCCCACATTAATAAACAGTGGGTACATTTCATAACTGTTGTCTAAGGTTAATTCAGACAAAAAGTAATTGACAAATTCAGGCAATATCAGATATTTAAATATCATTAATTTCTTTCAATTTGTCTTGTTTACAGTTCTAATTGTAATTCATCTTGGAATGATAACATAAGCAAAGATAAGTTGTGGTTTAACTGTTTTTTAGTGATAACAATTATAGATTTCTCTTTAACGTTTTTATATATCAAGGCGTAACCCACTGTGCAAAACAAAACAAAAAAAACATTATTCGCATAATGGCGCCATGCCTA